CGAGACCTCCAGAGTCCCCCCGGTCCCCCAAAGCCCCCCAGGCCCCACCGGGTCCTCGCTGGACACGGACACGACCCTCGTGAAGGGGATTTCGGGCATCTCCCCCTTCGCCGCCATTCACCGGAAGCCGCCTCAGGGCTCCCTCATGGAGCCGCTCGGCGCCGCCGTCCCCCAGACTCTATGGTAGCGGCACCTTCTCTTGGTTACTGCGCATGCGCTGGAGGACCCGCCCAGGCCACTCGGGTCCTCCAAGGCTGGGGGGGGTTTCCCGCCCTTTTTTTTCGCGCCATTTTTTTGGGGGGCGCGAAGCCGTGAGGGGAAAGGGGGGAGAAGGGGCTTTTGGGGGGATAATTAAGGGGTTGGAGATAATTAAGGGCTTGGGGGTAACTGAAGGATAATTAATCAGGACACAAATGGGCCGTTTCGGAGGTCTCCGAGGGATTTATTGATGCCCTGACCCCCTCTCCCAGTCCATTCCAGTCCATCCCAGTTCAGCCCAGTAACCGCCCATACTCGGCCAGTGCCGACGATTTCTTCACTCCGTCCCAGATCCGTGCAGCGTAGTGAAACCTGCACCAGTACAGACCAGTAAAGACCAGATATTCCCTCCCAGTTACGCCCAAACCCCCTCCCAGTGCCCCCCAGTATCTCCCAGTGCCTCCCACTCCCTCCCAGGGCCCTGAAACCCCCTCCCAGTGCCCCCCAGTATCTCCCAGTTCACCCCAGTCCCCTCCCAGCACCACCAAACCTCCTCCCAGTGTTCCCCAGTATCTCCCAGTCACCCCCAAACCCCTTCCCAATCCCTCCCAGTGTCCCTCAATCCCCTCCCAGTCCCAAATCCCCTCCCCAGCCCCTCCAGTCTGACCAGTTGCGCTCGGTGAGCAGGCTGTGGGATAACTGGGACCGCGCTGCCGCCAGGACTCTCCCCCGGAGCCGGGCCAGGAGCCCCCCGAGTCCCCCCCGGCCCCGGAACGGCGGCAGGGCCGGGAACAGAGCCCCCCCGCCACCTGGGGGGACACACTGGGGTTACTGGGAGCACTGGGGGGCACTGGGAGGGGAACTGGGGGAGCACTGGGATGATGTTACGGCTTTTTGTGGGGGTACTGGGGTGGACTGGGAGGGGTTTGGGGGGAATCTCTGCTCCATACTGGTCCATACTGGTCTGTACCTGCCCGCAGGGGGGGGTCGTCGCCCTCGTCCTCCAGAGGGGGGAGCAGGAACAGGTTCACCTCGGCCTCGGGGGGGCCTGGGGGAGCCCCCAAACCCCCCGGGAGCAGCTCCCGCATCGACAGGGACCCTGGGGGACACCAAACCCCCCCAAAAACCAATCTCAGGGACCCAAAAAACCCCTCAGAGACCCCCAAGAGTCCCCCCCTGGGACCCTCAAAAACACCTGCAGACCCCTCAAACCCCCCTGCAAAAAAACCCAGAACCCTCTAAACCCCCCCCAGACCCCTCAAAACCCTCCCAAAGCCCCTCCAAACACCCCCCAAAGCCCCCCTAGGATGCCCAGCTCCCTCCTACCCCGGTATTTGAGGCGTGAGTGGGCCATGAGTCGCCCCAGAACCTGCTGCATCTGCCCCAGGCGGCGGGGGGAGAAACAGTCGGGGGGGGCCCGAGTCTGCACAAACACTGGGGGGGAAAAAGGGGAGGTTGTGGGGCTGGAACTGGGAAAAAACGGGGCTGGAATTGAAGGTTGTGGGGTTGGGGAGGGGTTTTGGGGTGGCTGTGGGGTCAGGATCCACGGGGCAGACCCACGGGACTCACCCAGGTGTGGGTAATACTCCGAGGGCTCCTCCGCCCCAGCCCCGCTCGAGTCGTGGCTCGGGGAGGGCGTCGGGGGCTTCACCATCTCTGCCGTCTGCAGGAACCTGGGTGGGAACGGGGCAGTTTGGGGGGGTTTTGGGGGCAGTTGCTGGTCAGGTTTTAGGTGAGTTTTGGGTGGGTTTTGGGCAGGTTTGGGGGTTCCCCCACCTGTAGAGCCCCAGGTCGGTGAACCAGTCCTGCACCAGCAGCACCACGTGGCACACGGTGAACAGGAAGGCGGCGATCTGCAGCGACTGGCGAATATTCATGAGCTCCATTAGCATGCCCGTCCCTCATTAGCATCCCAGGCCCCTCCCACCCTCCCCTGTGCCCCGCCCCCTCACCTGTGTCTCCACGTAGGCGTGGGGCAGCGCGAACTCCGGCGGCAACTTCCGGTCGTTGTTGATCAGGTGGTCCAGGTGGGCGGGGCTGAGGATGGGCTGGGGGTGGGGCCAAGAGGGGTGTGGTCAGTGGGAGAGACCACGCCCCCCCTGCGCGGTAATGAGGGGCAGGGGAAAAGAGGGGAGCGCGCTGGCGGATAATCACGGTCATTGGTTAATTAGCGCTAATTACCTGCGTGTCCAGGAACAGCACCCGCTCCTGGGTGACGAACAGGTCGATGCCCCCGGTCTGGGCCCCGCCCCGTTCCCGCAGCTCGGGGGGCTGTGGTCGGAACACAAACGACCTGGGGGGCGACACCAGTGAGGGGGGACGGGTGAGACCCCAGGGACAGGTGAGACCCCCTCCCAGTCCCTCCCAGTGCCCCCCAGTACCGCGGGTCCTCCTCGGGCTGGTTCCCGGCCAGCAGTGACAGCACCGTGGACTTCCCCGTCCCCTGCAGCCCCAGGGCCCCGACCACGAGCACGTCCGTCTGCTCCATGAGGAACTGGGAGCACTGGGAGTCACTGGGAGGGCTCTGGGACAGCCCCAGATCCCCCCCAGCACATCCGTGTGCTCCATGAGGAACTGGGAGCGCTGGGAGTCACTGGGAAGGCCCTGGAACCTCCGTGGGACCCCAAAAAACCCCCCCCAAACGCCACCAGGGCCCCCCAACCTCCCTCAGCTTCGGTCACCCACCACCCCCCCCCAGGACCCCCTGTTGCCCCCCACCTCGAGGGCGCTGTCGCACCAGTTCATCTGCTCGTCCACCAGTTTGATACTGGTTTTCATCTTCTCGGGCGCCGCCAGCCGGGCCTGGGCCTGGGCCGCTGGGAGGGGGCGGGGACAGACAGGTGGGGCCACGCCCACCAAGGGGCCACGCCCCATTTTTGGGGACGTGGCCACAAATCCCAAGCCCCTCCCACAACCCTAAACCACGCCCACAAACATCTGGCAACACTTATCACACTTAACCACGCCCCTCCAGCCCCACCCACCCTGTAACCCTGCCCAGAACCCCAAACCACGCCCCCAACTATTTAACCACACCCACAGCCTTTAACTCCACCCCCTCTAACCCCACTCTCATTTACATACTCCAGCCCCTCCCCCATTTTCAGCCCCCCACTCACGGTCTGGCGCCCCTGGCGGGGGGAGGCCCCTCCCATGCAGTTGGTACATGGGTTGGGTGGGGCGAGGCCCCTCCCTCTCAGGGGGGGGGGCTTGTGCTGGCCCCTCCCCCTGGGGAGCTCCACCCCCAGGGAGGCCTCGCCCCTCCTCCCCCCTCGCCTTCATCAGCACGATGGGTGGGGCCGGCGCAGGAGGGGGTGGGGCCTGCAGTGGACCTGCCTTCTGGGTGGGTGGAGCCTGCTGTGGGCACGCCCACCCCAGAAAAGATGACATCAGAGGGTGTGACTCCCTCCCAGTGCCCCCCAGTGCCCCCCAGTGCCCCCAGCTCACCCGTTCTCCAGGGGGCTTCGCCAGGATGATCGGGGTCTTCTGGGGGAGCCCTGGGGGCTCCTCCCCCACCTCCTGTGGGGGAAAACGGGGTCAGCAGGGTCATGCCCGTGGCTCAGACCACGCCCTCAAAGTTCCAGACCCGCCCCCTCACTCCGCAGGCCCCGCCTCAAGAAAAAAGCCCCACCCTCTCCCACACCTGAGGCTGTCAATCATCCCAAGCCCCACCCTCACACCCGAGCCCCGCCCACCCTTCTCTCGGCCCCGCCTCCTTCCGGCTCCTTCTCGCGGTTCCAGCAGCGCCTGCGCGCGACGGGGGCGGGGCTCTGCCCCGAGTCCGACATCCGGGAACCCGCGGGGTGTCTGAGCGGGCTCTGAGGGCGCCCGGGAGCTCCCGGGAGGTCCCGGACCCCCTCGGGGGGGTCCGCAAAGGTCCCGGGGGGGGTCTCTGTTCCCCCTCGGGGGTCCCGGAGCTTCCCCCTCCTCTGGCCCGGTCGCGGCTCCGGCGCGGCGAGCGCGGCCGAGCCGGGGGCAACTGCGCGTGCGCCGCCAGGGGGGCGTGGCCACGATCGACGCATGGCGGAGGGGGGCGTGGCCAGCACAAAGCCACGCTCTCGCCGCATTTAAAGGGCCAGGCGCCCCTTTTTTTTTACGGGGTCGTTTCTTGCACCACGTGATTCGATTTGTCGCCCCCTTCCCCCCCAAATGTCCCCTTTTGTCGTCCCCATCCCCCGAAATAAACGGCAGCGGAACCTCATTGTGGTTTTTATTAACGGCGAAATAATCGGTAATTAATTAATTAACAGCGCAGGAAAGGGGGGGGTGAGGGGGGGACACGGTGACACCCCCGGGGGGGGGAAGGGGACACCGAAAGGAGGGTGGGGGTGACACCGGGGGTGGGTCACAGCGCCGGTCACATGCGGGGGGGTCCCGGGGGGTGTCAGGCCAAGGCCAGCACTGCAGGGAGGGGGGACAGGGAGGTCACGGGGTGACCTCGGTGTCCCCAAATGTCACCAGAGCCCACCCCCTGTCCCCCCACAATGTCCCACCGCCCCACGATGTCCCAACCAACCCCTCAAGGTCCCTCCTGTTTCCCCCCTCATAGCATCCCCCCCACCCACAGGTGTGTCCCCAGGTGTGTCCCCAGGTGTGTCCCATGTCCCCCCCCAGGTGTTCCCCAGGTGTTCCCCACCTGTCAGCGCCTCCTGTGCGAAATACTTGACGTCGACGTCCTGGTCCTGCGTCAACTTCTCCAGCACCGGCTTCACCTCTGTCTGCAGCGTCCTGGGACAGGTGGGACAGGTGGGACAGGTGTGGGGATGGGCCCAGGTGAGTCCAGGTATGCCCAGGTGCCCTTACCCGCTGTCCAGGATGGGCCCCATGCGTTGCTGTGTGTTGGTCTGTACAGGTGTGGTCTGTACAGGTGTGTGCCCAGGTGAGCCCAGGTGAGCACAGGTGAGCACAGGTGCCCCCAGGTGCCCTTACCCGCTGTCCAGGATGGGCCCCATGCGTTGCTACGTGTCGGTCTGTACAGGTGTGGTCTGTACAGGTGTGTGCCCAGGTGAGCACAGGTGCCCCCAGGTGCCCTTACCCGCTGTCCAGGATGGGCCCGATGCGCTGCAGGGACTTGGCCACGTTGAACCGCACGTTGGCCACGGCGTCGGCCGCCATGCGCAGCACCGTGGGCAGCATCTGCTGCGTGGTCACCTCCTGCCCACACACCTCCGACAGCACCTGGGGACAGGTGAGACAGCCCTGCGACACGCCCACAGAGCCCTGACCCCGCCCCCCCAGCATCTGCTGCGTGATCACCTCCTGCCCACACAACCAGCCCAGGTGTGCCCAGGTATGCCCAGCTGTCCCCCACGTGCCCCCAGACCTCCCCAGGTGTGCCCAGGTGTGCCCCCCAGACCTCCCCA